AGGGCCGGGCGGGGCGCGAACGCGGTGGACCGTGCTCCGGATAGTATCGTTGGACCCTGATTTAATTGTGCTCAGATGTTTGTCCATGCACGAGAGAGGGAAGTAGACGCACAGCGCATCATGAAATCGCCGGCGTTCACGATGAGCGCACCTGGCACTGGTGGGGCGGGCTATTTCATAGGTCAAAGATGAAAGTTACACAGCACGAGCTGAGGACAAATTGAGGCTCACGCGGAACGACCCCGGCACACGCGGATCTTCCACCTCAAGACCACCGACGTCATCTTGCAGCAGAAGGGTTATTGACCCGAAGTCCGAATGCTCCCCGATCCGCGCAATTTTATCGGTGTGCAGGGAATCGACTGGTACGCTGTGGTACCTCAGCACATGACGGTCACATGCTACAGGAAACGGCGACGCACCTGGGATAGTGCAGCAACCGGAGCTGGTTATCCGGCGCTGTGTGGACCTTGAGGAAATACTCCTCCGGCAGACCGAACCCTACTGCAAGCGCGCGCAGAATATCCAGTTGGACCGCGTGGCAGAGCTGCGGAGCATGAGGATACGCTGGGAGACAAGTACGAAGGATGGTTCACCCAGAAGAATTCGAGACACTCCTCCTTGAAGCCCGGGAGGATACCGTCCGGGAGCCAGATATTCGGCATCACCTCGTCGCCCTCGCGCCCGCACTCGAAGCTCTCCTTGGCGTCCGGCGCGTGCGCGCGGTGCTCCGCTATCGCGTCTGCATCGTAGACGTGCTGGCTGACCTTCTCCTGCCCAGGCGCAGAGTATCCTGGAGAATATAGCGTTGGATGATCCACGAACTGGTTTGGGCGCATCTACCTCGGTGGTGTGTGCCGGACGGTGGGTGCGGCGCCAGCATCTTGACGTCCATGGGCTGCGCGAAAAATTCCTTCGACTGGCCAGAGCATGAATGGTGTCGAAAATGATCAAACCATACTCACCAGTGCGAACATCTTGGCTACTCGCTCGGAGGCGATACGGTGGTTCACTAGGTAGACAAATCCGATTTCCTTGAAAGAGGCCAAGATCTTGTCCGCGACCTCCTGCTTGTTGGATCCATCGGTGAAGGGGGAGAAGTCGACGATGGCAATTCCGCTGTTGTTGACTTTGGGGTCCATGGTGGCTTTGGATAACCTTGGTCAATGCTGATTCATCTGAAGGCACCTGGCAGAAGCGGTGTTCGTAGGTTTGCGTCTGCTGTTGACGATTTGTATATATTTACGGGCCAGGCATTCCTTCTTTTCCTTGTCGTTTCCTCCATGTCCTTCTCCTCATGGGCAGAGGCAACAGCACGAGAAGATATCATAACTCCACCGGACATCTTTGTCTCGCTCAAGTTAGACTCTCCTTTAGTGGTCTTGGCCTTGTGGCACGCTCGAATCTGGATCTCTGGATTTTTTCCCCTAACTCTTCATCTCTGATGCTGGGCCCTTCCCTCTGGCGCCTGCAGAATTTTAAACGCTCTTGAAATTTCGACCACTTGCATCGTTTTCGATTATCATCGGCTCATTGGGCAAGAAGCGCATGCAGGCGGCGACTCCAACGAGAGAATGTACTCAGTGCTGACGGTGCTGACTGCTAGAGACGCTAAACATGTAAATGTATTCCTTCCCCCGAAGAATGTATATGATTATCTGTGGCTGCTCAGCACGCCTCGACTAAGCCTCGACCGTGCATAACTTCCGTTCTCCAGACTGCCCGCATGCGCTAGCGGCTTGATGGCCGATGCTCTGCCTTTGACAGCCAAAATAAACGCACAAGGCAGTGCCACAGCACCTCTCATGCCTCTCGTCAACGGCTACCGTCTCCACATCTCGAGCAGCACATTCAACCAGATAGCGGGGCATCACAACGAGTACAAGATCACGGGGGACTTGGTTCAACCTCAGGGAGAAAACGGTGAACGTCATCATTCAGAATTTCTTCAAATTGTGCTGCGACTGACATTCTGCGACGCAGGAATCACCATCCTTCAGCGCAGCATCTCGGGGGATGCGTTCTACAACTCTGAGCAGCGCTTCCCGCCGCCGCAATGCCACCCAGACACCAGAACAGCGGTGCAAGATGCGATCCAGGCCTGGGCAGCCGAAGGCATCAAGCGCCCGGGGTGATGTGGCTATACGGACCCTCAGGCGCTGAGAAGTCCGCTGTGGCGCAACGTATGGCGGAGAAATGGTCTGCGGACAAACTTGCTGCTGCATTTTTCTTCGGCAGATGGCGCGCTGGCGGGAGCTCCGGCAAAGTCTATTCCCCACGATCGCTTATCAGCTTGCGCTGCATATCCCGCATCTCCGGAAGCCCATCGGCCTCGCTGTTGAAGCGGATCCAGCTATCTGCGACAAGGCACTCGAGGAGCAGGCTCGGGCTTTCATTGTCGACCCCATGGAAGAACACAACGTGGCTGACACGCCATATCTGGTGATCATTGACGGGCTAAATGAATGCGGAGGCAAGGCGATTTAGAGCCGGATCGTCGAAATCGTCTTTCATATAGTCGCCGATAAAAAACTCCCCATCATGTTTCTTATCTGCAGCCGTCCCGAGCCCCACATTCGCGAAACCTTCGACTCTTTACCCCCGGAGACTCGCTTCCACCGTCTTGTCTTGGACGAGAGGTTCAATCCTGGTCGGGATATTCTACGGTATTTGTGCGACAGTTTCGCCGACATCCAGCACAAGCGGTTCTTCAATCACTTTGGTAGGTAGGTAGGTAGGTATTATTACACGGCACGGTCCGAATAACGAACGCCGGTTTCCAGGAGGAATAGACCCTTCCTGGCCCTCTCAACCAGATCTGGACACATTGGTCCACGGTGCCTCTGGCCAATTCATCTACGCTGCCACGGTGATAAAATTCGTCGATGACGAATACTGTCATCCCGTCGAGCAGCTCAACCTCGTCCTCAGCCTGTCGAAAACTCAGGCCGGCAGGTCGGTGTTTGCAGACCTCGACGCACTGTATCCTTTCATCCTCTCTGCCAACCCGAATGTGTCTCTCCTCTTACGCGTATTGGGAACATATTTTGCCATTCCATATTCATATTTCCGACATAACTGTGCGTCGTTCCTCGACGATATACTTGGTCTCGCCCGCGGAAGTGTCAAACGTGCGCGGCGGGGCCTTCACTCTCTTCTGCTCATTCGGGATTCAGACGACCACCGGATTCGTGTCCACTATGCCTCGCTTCAAGATTTCCCCTGGAATTCACAACGAGCCGGTATCTTCTTTCTGGACATGGGCCAACATCACCATGACATGGCCCAACGTTGTTTTGCGATCGTCCAACATACCCTTGAGAGTCCCGGATATTACTCGAGTGCCCTGCAAGTTTTCATACGTTTCATTTGCCAGCCTTGATATTGATTCTGTATCAGATCTTCATATTATGCTCACCGGAATTGGAGGGATCATTTTCCCGCGGCCGAAGATCGTCAGCGTCCCATATTTAGATGCCTCAAAGCCTTCAAGGACTCGCTAGAGCCTGGACGGCTAAGAATTCTCTGTCAGGATGCAAAGACGATGCTCCTTCGCTTCTGGTATATCATTGGTGGCGATTCACAGGGATCAATACTAAATATGTTGACAGTATATCGTCCGGTTACAGGATGAGCAGGATGACTCCTGGAATCTGCTGCTCATGACGTTGTTTGACCCAAATCCCGATGTTCGGGAATTTTACGAGGCTTGAGGCATGGCAAACTACGAATACTGATCATCCACTCTTCTCTTGCTCTGTTGATTCAGAAGCTCTGGGGTACGGACGAGGACCCGGAAACCAGACAGTCCCGCCGGAGAGTGAGGAGATTCCAACTGTGCAATTCCACACCGGAGGTCAAATTCGGAACCGCCGAAATTGCACTGCGGCTCCTCATGTGCAGGCAGGTTGAGCAATGCCGGAAGTTGATATTTTTTCTTCTGAAACTTTGAAAGGACGGCGGAAATCGAGATAACCGGTGGACTGCGATTAGGTCGCGAACATATTGGAGTTTCGCTTCTGACTGGTGTCGGGCTCTCATCGACGCACCCCCGGCCACAGAACTTCTGGCGATGTTTCGGCGTTTGTTCTTGAACTCGTTCTGGACTCAACCCAGCGAGTTGAATCGGGACGGACTGATACGGTGGCTAAAGGTGGGCCAGCTACAATTACTGATTCCGGTCTCTACTTGTCACCTCATGCAGGTAGAATTTTGGTGATGAGGCAGACCCACTTGTCGCAGCATTGGAAACCCACGAACCGCCTGAGGGGGATTGGTACCGCATGGGGCCAACGGGCAACGGAGATGCATTTGACAGTTACTCCGTGAGTAGTCGTGCTCGGACTGGCTGTACTCACCAAGGCGTCGCCAGAATCCATACCGTACATACTTATAGGGGGAGCACCGCCCGGGCGTATAGTCCACCCGTATCTCCCGTAGATCAACCGACGCTGTCGATTGTAGAGAATCCCATCTGACTTACCTCAGTCTTCTACCACCTAATGTCTTCCCTGCCCTGACAATTAGCTCGGTCGGACAGTATTTTGGGCGTACCCAGCGAAATTCGCGGTCCGCCTGAATATGCCCGCCAATACACAGACGGATGCGGGGATGAAAAAAGATTGATCCCGCGAGACAATGTCTTCGGGTGGAGTCGAACCACCAACTCTCCCCAAATTAAGCTCTCACGAGCGGCACACAGGATGGAGGCGAGATTCAATGCTCCACGAAGACTTACCTTGTATTCCTGCCCGCGTGAATATCCCTGCAAACACAGCGGCTGCGGGGAACGCAAAAATGGCACTATTTCCCGCAAATATGTCTTCGGGTGGATTCGAACCACCAGCTCTCCCGGGATTCAATATCGCTGAAGATCCCCCAAATGGGAAGGGGGTGAGTTCAATACTCCACCAAGACTTGCCTGTCCTCCTGCCCACCTGAATACGTCTGAGGACCACGGCGACTGCAGGGATGAAAAAGAGCGATCTGTAGCCCGTCCATGTCTTCGGGTGGATTCGAACCACCAACTCTCCCCAAATTAAGCTCTCACGAGCGGCACACAGGATGGGAGCGAGATTCAATACTCCACGAAGACTTTCTTCCCTTCCTGCCCACACGAATACTGTATCCTTATAAATACAGAGCGGCTGCAGGGATGAAAAGGATTGATCCATATGAGACAGGTGGACTCGAACCACCAACTCTCCCACCATTCACTATTGAATGGAAGCGAGTTCAACACCCCACTCACTCCACTCAGACCTCCTCCCTTCCTCCCGCGCCGAATAAGTAAAACCAAGAGTCCACGAGGTTGAATGCTCACTTCTTCGAGCGCGGTGGCTCCAGGAATATTAATACAAAAAATCGGATTTCACACCCATGTCTTCGGGCGGCATCGAACGGCTGACTCTCCCTTTATCCCTTTATCCCACAGTCCATCATGATCAGTATAAGGAGGGAGCGAGTTTCGTACTCCACGAAGACCGTCCTTACCCTGTACATACCCGCGCCAAAAAGATGAGTGAAGCAGTAAGTCAATTATTTCGCAGTACCGTATACACTTGCGACGTATCCTACATTTACATTTAAATTAGAGATTGTATTATCGCTGAGAGGAGTATACTACACTAATGTTTATGCCCGACGTGCATCTTCTCCTTGAGGCGCTGCACGAGTTTCGGCTTGCGATGCGGACTCGCCTCCCTTTCGTCTGCGGCTGCGTCTGCCGCGGGCGGTTCTGCCGGCGCGGATTGTGATTGGGATGGGGAGGGCGGGGAAGACGAGTCGAGCGCTAGGACGCCGTGCGGCGAGGGCGCGGCCACGTCCGGCCCCGCGCGCTGCGTGTCCGTCGTCGTCGAGCTCGGCGGCGGCGGGATCACCGGCACAGCATCCGATACATTTGGAGGGGACGCGATGACGAGGTTCTCCGCGAAGCGCGAGCCGAGGGGGGTGACGGGGTGCAGGGAGGCGGGGCCGCCGGTGTGCACGAGCGTGCTCAGGTTTTCGAGGTCGGCGCTCGGGGTTGAGAGCGTGGTGGTGGAGGTGGAGGGGGAGTCGAGGTGTGGGGGGCCGATGGAGCCGGCTTGGGCTTCTGTGCTGAGGTTCGTGGAGGCGCGGTCGTGGGTGGCGAATGCCGGGCGCGGGGGCGTGAGGTCTGAGTTTGATTCAGACGACGACGCTAAGGAAGAGTTAGCAAAAAATGATAATGATGAATATAGAACACACGCAGATACGCCGCAACGCCCTGCGGCAGGTACGCCTTTGCCATCTGCCCCGCGTTCGTCATCGCGCGCTGCACGTCGTCCTGCGCTGGCAGGTACGCCTTGGCCGTCGCCAGCAGCGTCTCCCCGCTCTGCGCCGCTGCTGGTGCCCCTGCGGGTTCGTCGGGAAACCACCCCGGGACATTCTCCTCCGCGTTCTCCGGCGGGGTGGTGGTTTCGTGCGCGTCCAGGATGCCGTTCGTGTTCTGCGCCCCCTGGGCGGCGGAGTCGATGCTGTGGACGGGGTTCGAGATGGTGGTGGTGGTCATGATGGCTTGAAGGAAAGAGGTGTGAGGAGCGCGTTTTGTGGGGCCGGACACGGAGGTTGGAGTCGCGGTATGACGTCGGTGGACAGGTGTGGCGGTGCTTGGGACAAACACGCATCAACTGTGGTTCGATTTGGTTCAACTCGGAGATTTGGGCGTTGTTTTCACGCCGGTGTCCTCGAAGTCTGGTCAGAGGAATGATTCGGGTTATACATTACTTCCAGGGGGAATGCTGAGCTCACAAGGACATGCCGATCCAACCCGATGAAGAGGAGTGATGAAGCCACGAGTGGCTTCGGCCACTGGGGCCGCTGATCATTTGAGCCGTCTCCCCACTGCCGAAGTTCTAATCCCGGCGTTGAACGCATAAAATGTGAGATTTAACAAAATGTACTTACCATCAGCCATGTGATGAGCGCCGCCCGATCCAACTCCCCAGCGGAATCCATAAAGCATCCTGAACCAAGTTTCGCAAAAAGCCGATATCTCAGGCGACGGCGGTGCCCGAAGGAGAAGCCGGGCCCACTGAGCCGCGCCATTCCGCTGCATTTTAAATGTAGTGCCACGTGGGAAATTTGGATCAAATCGTGATCCGTGGCGCAGAAAGATTCTTCAGATTCAGGCAGGTCCAGAATTTGGTCGCGCCGCTCGAGACTCCCATCGCGGCTCCCAGTTCGTGGAGAGCCTCATTACGCTGCCGGGAGTCCCCGCCCCATCGGCGCCATCGTCCTTGGGTCCCCCTCCCTCAACTCGTCTGCCCGGGCGGACACCCTCTCCTCCCAATCTCATTCCGCGCCGGCAGAACCGAACGCGGCACGGGAGCCCCGCGGAAGCCGAAGCTCGTGCAGCGCCTCAAGGGGACGATGCACGCCCGGCACGCGCGTGCGCATTCCTAGTGTACTCCTACGAGTGACAATGCAATTTGTAACTGATACCGGACAATTATATATACAATACCTCTGCTCCCGCGGAATTGGTCTACGGGTGGGTATGCAGGGTATGAAGGGGATACAGAAGGTCTTCGTGGAGTACGAAACTCGCTCCCTCATAATCGCGAGATCCATAAAGTCTGGGGAGAGTCGGCGGTTCGAACCCGTCCGAAGACATTACCGGCTGATTCCGTTTTTTTTTGTATCCCTGAACTGCCCGCACGGCACGTATTCCCTCAGTTTGGGCTGAGTAACCTCGCAGCCTCTCGGTTTTAGTTATTCGGCGCGGGAGGGAGATGGGTAAGTCTTCGCGGTAGGTACGTACGTACGTAGAAATCTATATAAGAATTCACAACGGTTTGTGTCTGACCACATAACCTGATTGGCTGGCGGTACCGTTGTCTCGAGACAAATACCTCCGAGAGCTCCAAATGATGTCATCCGCTCCACAGACCCACCGCAATGTTGAATTCCCCACCCAGATGGTGGGTTTCTAATTATAATGTTCAGATGTTCACTTTGGGCTCCAGTATCTGTTTCTTCCCTCGGAGTCACTGTCAATATGCCATGAACCTATTATGACCGTTTTTTTTCGTCGTTAGTATGTGATCGAGGTGTCTACCCCCCCTTTTTAACAAAAAAACGGTATGCAGTGCAGAATCAACTAGCGACTCCAACTCGGATTGATCTCGGCTGCCGCGGCATAGCTTCGTGAGGGTGATTGCTCTCACGGTACAATGCTTCTTTGATGGCGCTCTTCGGCGCGTATATCCCGCCAGGTCCCGCCGCTCAATGTTTCTGGCTTCCACATGCCAGCGCACCGGTGGAGCATCGTCTCAAAATCTACCAATTCATCAAACATGAGCTCACAGTATTTCGTCGGTTCAAAACTGCGAGATTGTTATTTATTTCACCCAAGGCTCTCCCCGGCGGCACACAAACGCGGCTACATTTTGCCTTTGGGAACATCGGGGTTACTAATCCTCAGGTGAATATTCCCAAACCATTGAATTGTTGAGATTCACGCTATCAGCAGGCAATCATTTATCTTCTCCCTTTGTTTATATTTACTCCCGACGACCTATTAGCTACTGTCGTAAACAAATATGTCTCAGTTCTGTCCAACGCAGTACTGAGACGTGAGTTCCTTCATTCTACTTATTCACTCATACTTACTATAGTTTAGTCCGTCTTGATTTAGGTACATAATAAGAGTTCTGTCCAACGCAGTACTGAGACTCCGTCTTGATTTAGTTCCGATCTTCATTGTGTGATATCCCCCAGATCTTCACAGGTTATGGGCCCCGACACCAATGATGTGTACGAGAAAAAGCGGACCCTTCCAATACTCCTAGATGACTCATCCAATTGGGTACACTACTCGGAGATTATTTCGACACATGCCAAGTCGAAAGGGCTGCATCGTCACCTCGCCGGTTCAGTGCGCAAACCCGCAGAACTGACCCAAGACGCCGTCGGCGACTGGTTCCTCCTCGGATCAAATATTCAGTTGACCGATGACGAGGTCGAAGCTCACGAGAAGAAACAGGACGACTACGAGATGAAGGAGTCAAAACTTCGCGACCTAATCTATCAAACCGTCAGTCCCACACGGTTCTCCCAAATCAAGGGTGAACAAACCGCTTGCCGAGTCTGGGAAAAGCTCACGGAACTCAATGAGAACCGGGGTGAGATGGTACAACTCAATACCATGACCAGACTACAGCAGATGCGTTGTGGGGACGACGATGACTTGCAAAAACATCTCGCGGAAATGTCGGAACTTCGGGATATATTAGCCAAGATGGGCAATCCCCTCAGTGACCTGCAATTCGGTTCATACATCCGTGCTTCTATCCCCGAACACTACCGCACTCTTTTGACCACGATCTCCGCCGCGGCCCGAATGTCGATCCCACCACGGCCCATTGATTCCGCGCTCTTGATTCAAGAACTAACCAACGAATACTTGAGCCGGACAGTGGACAGGAAGATTGATAACGATAACGCGGCGATGTCGGCTGCGAAAAAGGCTGGCAGTGGCAAAAGCGGTAAAGGCGGCGAGAAGAAGCCGAAGTGCACAAATTGTACCAAAAAGGGTCATACAAAGGACAACTGCTTCGCGCCAGGGGGAGGAAAAGAGCATGACAAGCCGGATTGGTATGTGAAACAACAGGAGGCAGCGAAGAAGGCAAAAGGGAAAACGGCGGCGGCGGCGGACGACTCCGACAACGTCGCGTTGATGATCGGCGTACCCGACGAGGACGACGACTACGAGAACGTTGCGTTCTTGATCACGTCAGACTTCCGCGAAGACGCCGAAGCCCACGCCACCTCCCAGTCCACGGGCTGCGACATGATAGTCGACAGCGGTGCAACACGTCACTTCTCGCCCAACCGTGCCAACTTCACAAACTTCAAAGAAATTCCTCCCGTTCCTATCCGCGCAGCAGATGGCCGAAGTTTTAGCGCAACCGGGAAAGGCGATTACAGCACCTACTTTCCTATGGGAGCTGATCATAAGCCGACCCGCGCGACGCTCATGAACACCTATTACTCACCCCACATGGCCTTTACCCTCATCTCCGTTAGCACCCTCGACCGCGCCGGCTATGCACTACACACCGAGGACGGAAATTG